AAAAAATTTACCTGCTGGAAAGAAGAAAAAAAAAGAAGGGATTGAGCAAAAATGGGTTTAGCAAACAACAGCAAGAAAGGGGTCGAAAATCTCCCGATAAAAAGAAGGGAACCCGTCAAACACCGCGAGTTGGTAAATTTATTTTACCGTCTTCAGTATTACATATCGATTATTTTTAAGGGCTTCGGTTTGTGTTCGTTCGATCGGTAGTTTATCTGTTGATTTGTGTGTTTTTGTTTGTTATAAAAAAGCAATCTTTGTCGCCCCCGAGATTTAGGTTTTTCGTAAATGGCTAGGTTTTGTTTGAGTTTATGTTGCTGTTTTTGTTCACTTAGACGCGGTTGCTTGTGGTGGGTTTTCTTTGAATAGGCTTTTTTGTTGTTTTGAATTATATCTCAGACAATAGAGAATCGATTGGAAGCACTTGAGACAAGAGTAGACACATTGGTGGAACAATTGACGCAGTTGAACGTGAACTTTGAGAATTTTCGAGCCGAGACTCGTGGGAGGTTCGAGAGGATTGAGCAAGCACAGGCCCAAATAATCGAGATGATGGGACGACTCGGGCCGGGTCGCTAGTGACATATAGCCTGTGAGTGATTGTCGGTGCTTTCTTTTGTCGAATGATGGGCAGAATAGTATTTTTCTTTTGTCGAATGAATGGTCAGAATAGTATTTAGGAATTTGCTATGCATTAGGTGTTTTCGGGCGTAGTCGAATGCTTGCTACTTTTGGATGTTTGTTTTTTGCCCTTTTTTAGGAATTGTGCAAGAAAATTGACATGAAATCAATGGGTTTTTTTTTTCTGATGATGAAATGAGCTTTGAAATTCCATGAATAGTATAACTCTTGAATTTTCTATGTAGGCGTTTTGCTTCTCTTACATCCTAATCATTGTTGGTTGCTACATACTAGTAAACCATTTTTACTTTCGATGTTTTTGTTCAACGGTTGATATGTACTGATAAAAAAAGGTTTTGAATGAGTTGTGTGCATGTACATGGCAAATGCTTGTGTACTGTTGATAACGGGCTAGTGCCTTTTGTCAGTTGTATGAAGAAAACATTGAAGATGTAGAAACAGATAAAACCCACTAGTCTGTCAGCCAACTAAAAACAAAAGAAAAAATGCCTTAAGTGCCATTAATTGTGAAGTGTTGTTGTCATCTTTATTATCTTTGATGAGCTCCAAATAGTTTCAGATTTGGTTGATGCTTAGTTGTTGGTGGTTTGGTATGTGATCTTCTTGTTGTCCCGAGTAGGGTTTTTTCTGAGCTTTTGAAACCAAGATTA